ATGAATTGATATTTATTTTTTTTTGTATTTTATTATAATTGTTGTTGTAATTGTATTAGGATTTAATGTTATTAGTTTATTGTGTTGTTAAATTAATGGATATTATTTAATTAAATTATTAAAATGATCAAAAACTTAATAATTACAAAATTGTTCACTAGATTTATTATCTAACTTTTTACCCAATTAATTTAGTCAGAAGTCGGATAAGAATACCACACTTAATCAGATATGATAAATCAAAAAAAAAAAATTTAAAATATCGGATAAAGAAAAGGACAATATTTCTTACCTGAGTATAACTTTCAACCGTTATATTTAAGATCCTAAGTTGCCATAGTTGCTTTCTTGCCAATACGGCAAGGGCACAAACATCAGATTGACACGTGGCACCAGCACTCTGATAAATAAACTGACTTTGGCCCTAACGAGATGTGTAGAATTACGTAAGCCAAGTTGCAAGCTGAGTCATGTACCCGCGCCTTACGTCACTTTACCCACTTGCAGAAAAATCCACCACTCATGAAATTGGTTGGTCCCACATTGGCAAGTTGACAGGGACCATCTGTATCCTCCACTCTAGGGTTCTGATTGTCCTGTAGATATAATAATTAATTATAATATCAATGTTTGTTTGTAGATTTATACATTATGACTCTATTATTTTTTATTTCCACAACTATCATTTTTTATTTTATTTTCTCAACCCACACCTTTCTTATATTTTGCATATATTAATTATGGAATTATTGATGTATTGCCCAAATCGTAGATATAGGAAAGTTGTATTTTAAATTTAACATAGACATTTTTTTTTTTGAAACTAAAAAGAAATCGACACGTAATTAGTAGAATTGAGTCCTGCCTTAAAGAATTTAGATGGTAAACTAGTTTAAACAAATTGACCCATTATATCAATTTAATAACTACTTCAGTACGGACCTACTTAAAAATAACATAAACCTAGTAAACAAACTTTATATGCGAAATAAATTTTACTCAATATGAACTCAACTATATGATTGCAAATAAGTCTGATTATGAATAAAAATTATTTTTGCCACAACACAAATAAGATTATGAATTAAAAATATTTTGGCACGACACAATTAAAAAAGTGACGTAAATCCAACTAAGCACGAGTGATCGACAATCTTATTTAAAACACAATCGATGTTTTGTTTTCAATAGGAAAATTTTTTTTATACCTAATTTAGTAATTTTATCTGATGACATGATAGATCATAGTCATTGTATTAATAGTGAGTCTCAATTAATAATGAAATTTATTTTTAATCTAATGATAAAAAATAATAAGATCACTAAATAAGACCCACTTAACATTGCTCTTTCGATTAATCTAAAATCCATGCAAGTAGTTGTTGGATAGTTTTAAAAGCTCAATAATTTAGAGGGTAAAATGAGATTAGAACTATGATTGTGGGGTTTAAAGTGTATTTTGTTTCCAATATTTTGCCATCATATCCCCCATTTTCTCTTGCTATATATGAGACACGAGGGCCAGGTCTTAACCCAACAAAAACACCTTTGAAATCAAACAATGGGTTCTTCTTTCATTCAATACCCAAGTTCAGAATACTCGCCGGAATCTTCATTAGGTTCAGCCCAAGCTTTCTCATGGGACGACCTTCTATTCTACCATAGTTCTCTTCCATTTAATGTCAATGACTCCGAAGAATTGCTGCTTTTCGATGTCCTAACGAAGGGTGCGAGAGACTCATCGGAATCCAATTCCTACGGCGCAGTCAAGGAGGACGAGGTCATTTCCAAGGCCGCAGAGAAAACACCCAAGAAGGAAAAGTCATTCAGAGGTGTACGACGGCGGCCGTGGGGGAGATTCGCGGCGGAGATAAGAGACTCCACTAGAAATGGAGTAAGAGTCTGGCTTGGAACCTTTGACAGTGCTGAGGCGGCGGCTTTGGCTTATGACCAAGCTGCATTTTCGACGAGGGGGTCCATGGCGGTGCTCAATTTTCCGGTAGAGAGAGTCCGGGAATCGCTTCGAGACGTCAAGTACGGAAGCGAAGATGGGTGCTCGCCGGTGGTGGCGCTGAAGAAGCGACACTCCATGAGAAAAAGACCAGTGAGTAGGGAAAACAGAGTAAAGGACAGAAAGGTCAAGAGTGTGGTGGTACTACAGGACCTTGGACCTGAATATTTAGAGGAACTCTTGAGTTCATCTTAGAATGCTACTGCCTGGTGAAAATATGTTATTAGATTTTAATCCTTTATTTTTTTGTTAATTACTTTCCTTTTTCTTCTTTTTTTTTTTTTGATCAATACTATGTAACTAAAATATGTAACTCAAATTTGTATTCTAAATGAAGATTAGATCAATGGATCCCATTTAAAAAAGTTGATGGACTCATTCATCCAATGATCTCTTTTATTTGGGATGTAAATTTGGATTAAAATTTTAAGTTATATGATATTTCTCTTTCAATTTTTGTGCAACAGTCGTACTATGTTATCATTGTCACATGTTTTGATGTATTTAAAAAAATGGCGAGTACATAAAATAAACTCCATTAATTTTATGTATTCACTTGTCATAATTCGTGTCTGAAAATACAATGAAACACAAGATTTTAGTGTTCAAAAAATTAATCTCACTATACTAAATTTAAAGTTAATTTGTACTTATTTTTTATTATAAATACAGTCAAATTTTTTTTCAAAATACATAACTCGATATAAATTTTTAATATCTGTATATTATTGTATATGAATAATATATGAAATAAAAGTTGTGTTAAACTATAAATTAATTAAATATTAATTAATTGAACATGTGATGGAATTGGGTAATATGATATTTTTTAGGAAAAAAATGTATGGGAGATAAAATTTAACTTGCTAGCTAATTTATTATATAGATGATTAGATACGGTGAGTGTTGATAATTTTAAAAATAGCAGGTTCACTTTATTTATTTTTATTTTTTTATTTAGATAATGACTTCACATGACAACGATAACATTATGTGACAGCTAGATTGAATATATACTCTGTATGTGAACTGTGCATTATCCATCTCCAAGTAAAGTGAACGTACATATCTTGGTCATGCTGGGGCTTGATCCAATACTTCAAGTTGTCTTAGTTCATTTATGTTGTACAAAGATGGAGTATTAATTTGAGCACTATCTTGTCTACCTAACTAAGTATAGTTGAGGTCACCCACCAAAATTAGTCCAATTTGCTTTCACCAAGCTATATAATTTTTGGGAAATATTATGTATTTTAAATTTACGATCCAAATTTGTATTCCAAATGAAGGGAGACCATTAGATGAGTGAGTTCCATCAATTTTTTTAAATAAGACCCACTGATCCAATGATCCTCCTTAATTTGGGATGTAAATTTAGGTTACAAATTTAGGATACATAACATTGTTTATAATTGTTTAAACAATGCTATTGAGATATAATATACTGACCTAATTCATTATGACTTTTGGATTGACTATAAAGCCCATAAAACATTGAAATTTGGTGTTGATCTAATGGTTTTACTGAAATCACATCATTATGTCAGCAGNCATTATGACTTTTGGATTGACTATAAAGCCCATAAAACATTGAAATTTGATGTTGATCTAATGGTTCTACTGAAATCACATCATTATGTCATCAAATTATGTCAGATTTTTAAGTCCAAATAGTATTACTCTAATTTTTTAGCAATGCTACATGAACATAAATTTGATCTAATTTACTGGCCCAAATCTGATCTATTTATTGTTGAATATGCATTCCCTCTACCTCAATGTTCTATAAATAAATGAGTTTAATAATTAATACGCGGAGGGTAGTTTGTGACTAAGAAATATGTTGTTGAAATAAGTATATTGTCAATCAATGAATAAGTACATGCTGAAATATAATTATTCTTCAAAGGCTGTTTAATAAAATTATAAAACCAAGTGAGAGTAGTACTCTCGGGTTCTAGGCTCTAGCCCATTTTTGTATGAAAACTACGAGGACTACATGGCATATAACAAAGACAAGCAGGCTTCAATGAGGTAAGCCCATGGTTCACCAAAGGATCAATCAAGTTGGTTTATCTTCACTTAAGGCACCCGAAGGATAGTCCGGTTTAGGCTTGGAAAGTAGCCCCGTGGTTCATGGGTGCCCATTAATCAGGTGGTTCATCGGATCATGGGTTAGATTGATCTGCTGCATGCAAAAAAATTACCCATTGCATAGGATCATGGGTCATGAATTTTAGGCTAGTATATGGGCGGGCTGATACGATTAAGACCCACAAACGACAGCCCTACCTTCTGACCCGATCAAATGGGAAGTTTTGCCATCCAGTTGATCCTTCTGTGACACCCACAGTGGGGGACTAATGGGAGATTTTCAATAAAATCAGCCTATAGATAATCAATATCAAAAGCAAAAACTCAAACCAAGCAGAAGAGAAGAATAGTTGTCTGAAACCACCTAATTATACCACTCTGGATTTTGAAATGTATGAATAGTATCTGAAGACAAGAAATGATATACAGAACCTTAAAACGCCAGACAATGTTAGACCAGAGCTTTGAATCAGCGTCGCCAGGTGCCAATTATTTAAGAAGTGGTTTCCTGTGCCAGAAATGGATACCACAGATAACATACAGAAGCTGGAAGCATTAACCTGTAAGTTTTGAAAACCATCTTCACTCGTTTCTCATTTCATCCAGGAAAGAAACATTTAAGATTAAGAGAACTCAGCGTGCACGGTCTCTCAGCACTTCAAGGTCCATCTCTGTAGGGTCAGTAGCCTGAATCTCACAATGGATTCCGTCCAGCTCCTGTTTGAACCTTTCTTTGGATGTGGCATACAGCATCTTGGCACGAATTCGAGAGACCGCAGGGGACCTGATAACAATCATAGCATAAATGTGAAATGAAAAGTAAATAGACATCCAGATAGTCCTGTTGTGATGGTTACTGTTAGAGAAATGCTATCGCTGTGGTAGAATACATTCAGGACATCTAACAAAAAAGCAATTTCATCCTTGACAATGCCAGAGGCTTGACAGTAGCAAACCATAATCATCAGAAAGTCCTTGTTTTGCAATAAACAAGTCACATAAGTCATCATTCAAATATGGGCAAGTTAGTTGCAGAATGGCCTTTCTCATAGACTTCCTTCCTATCACAACTACAAGCTCAGCGGGTACCACTAAATTTCTACACCAAAAAATTCAAATAAATGTCATATCCACTAACATAGCCCATGCACAATATCTTCCGACAGATGTAATTGTTAATATCTATTTTTATTTTCTTCTGCCATTGCATTTTTCACAAAAAGAATCCCTAATCAAGCCAGTCCCTACCAAAATTAGAGCCTAGCACCTTCCAATAACCAGGTACTAGGAGATTTCAGCTAATGGTATCCTAATTCTTAGAACGATTTTGAGTAAGTAGACCTTAAACCACTAGATTTCATCTAGGCCTTAAAATAAGACAGCAGTGAGAATAATTTTACTCAATGATAAATTGCACTTTGAAGAACCTCAAGTATATGTCATGTGAAGGTAACATCAACATGTCAAGATATATATAGTTTCCCAAAAAAAACATGCAGCATAAGAACATGATAGATTCGGGGGGAGGGGGGGGATAGGGTGCACACATGAATACCATGCTTTCCAAATATGTAATTTAAAATCCTTGTGATTCAAATGAAGAGTATAATGCTGATTGCCATGCTCATATATCAGATTACCATGCATCTGACTTGCCAGCAGATTTAGAACAGCATTAATGAGTAATAACACCAACAAAATTCTAAGACTTGGGCCATGAAAGATAGAAACTCACCAGGCAATAAAGAATATCTTGCTCTTTTGACAATTCTCAGAAGTTACATAATCAAAGTCGTAGACAGCATATCGACAATCATTCTCAGGTAAGGCCACAGTGAAATCGTCATAGCTTTCTGCAGGACCACCAGTCTTCTCCACTACAATCTCCTTTTTCTTTTCATCAATCTTAAAAATCACATAACGGTGTACCCTCTTCCCTTTCAGTTCCAGAAATGTGTTTCTGCTGTGATCAGCAACACCCATGCCAGAAGAAGCATTTGGCTGGAAACAAATTCAAATGCACAAGTGTTGGTATGCATGCAAGAATTCAAGAAATAAACCAGACCAAACCAAACATTTCTACCAATTAATTGGGATCGATCATTTAATCGACACAAATCTGAAAGCTTTGAATCCCTTTTTCATAAAACAAAGTGGGCTTTTGACATGAGCACCGGTTTGCATCATGAACACTCTCAAAACTTACATGGTTTCCATTTTCCAAATAAAAAACAGAGACTATACAAGATAACAATCAAACGGAACAGACTTGAAAGGACCATACAAGTTATGCAAAATATAAAATCCAAGCAGAATTTGGCTACCACGTATGGAAGAGGATGCAACAATGAATAACTCCCCAACAATGATTCCCCCAGTAATTATATCATCTCAGTTTACATATCTATATGTATGAATGATCAAATTTATCTGTGCAGGCTACGTATAACAGGTGAAAAGCAATAGATTTGGTGGATCTTATACTTGGTAAGTTTACTGTTCCAACCCCCTCCCCACAACAACAACAACAACAACAAAAAAAAAACCCAAAAATATTACTCATGTAATTTCCTGGTTCCGTCCCTTGTTACACCTTATAAAGAAGGATTCTTCCAAGAACTCCTAACATGCTTATCCAGATATGGTGGAGAGAGAGAGAGAGATGTACCCCTCTGATTCTGAACGACATGGCTGTTGTCCGCAGACGATGAAGGAACAAGAAAAAACTGCATAATTAAGACAAATAAGAGAGTCTATAAGTATTCTCTCCTCACCGCATGAAAAAGAAGTGGTTTCAAAGTTTTTGTCTTCGGACGGAAAGTCATAAACGAGTGAGAAAAGTTAACCACGACCAAAGAAAAAGAAAGAGCGAACAAAAAGAAAGGAAAATATTCTCTCTTTTCCTCTTTGGTTTTCTTTTCTTCTCTGATGCAAGAAAAAGAGGGGAAAAAATTCGTACACTTGAGGTGAACAATGGAAGCTGAGTAAATGAAACCCACCTTTCGCCTTCCAAAATGCTCTGGTCCAGGATCAACAATCACTCGAAACCCACCATGGGAATGAGAGGAAAAAGAATTTGGAGGATTGGCTAAATAAGTATAAAGTGAACTATATAGATTTGGATGATTATGAGAAGAAGAATGGATTGTGATGGAGGAAGGGCGGTGCGTTGGAGAAACGCTGTCCTGCTTTTTGCAATGTAAGATGTCAAGTTAGGAATCATTGTTGGTTTAATACATTTTTTTTTTCTTTTTAAAGGTGCCTACACTTGCACCGATTTATTCATTTGAATTTAGCAACTACTATCATGACCCAACCCCAAAAGTTAGATCTAATGCACTTTTGCTCAAAGGAACCACAAACAAATATGTGTCATATGCATTTGATACGAGAGTTGGGTTAGTATTGTGACTGTTTTATGGTCAAACTTTTATGGGATCAACATCTCATTTGTGCCTTACATATTTTAATTTATTTTTAAAAAGTAAACAGCAGTTTGAATTAAGTTTATATTGCTATCAATTTATAACATTGATAATATAAATTAAAATTTTTAATATTTCAAAATATAAATTAATAATCAAAATACATTTTAAGGTGTAAAGTGAGATTAACCCTTAATTATAATAATCAATAGTCAGGTCTTTGACTCTCGAATGTCATATATAATTAGATTAATCGAACAAGACTAACTGATATTCTCTAAGTTGCATTCATCTTAGAGAGAAACAATAGTGTGCGCGGTGATTTTCGCACGATGAACAAAATGACAGATCTCTCCTCTGATAAATCCAAATTTGCTTGGAAAGTTGGATGTTTTCGTAGGAAAAGAATGTTGAAAAATGGTAATGAATGGTGATGAAGCTTTTCACAAACAATCTATTCACTCGTGAGTTATTGAATTGGATCTTGTCACTCAAATAAAAGGGTTAGAAGGGCGTCAGAGTGTTTTTCAGCGTGGCTCCTTCGACGATCAAGTTAATATATAAGAGAGTGTTGCAAAATCATTGTTTTATTGCTTGGGTGAGGTTTTGCGTACCTTAGACTTGGGTTTGAAAGAGTTATTTACACCTCTTAAGAGTTAATCATTGCGGACAGCTGGGTGCCTTGGAAGGAAGATTTCTCATTGGCTCATTAGGAGGACAACATGTGATGCACAGTTCTTGAGCAGAGTGTCTTCCTTTTCACGTGACATAAGCTTCTACATTTAATGCTCGAACCTTCAGGCATTTAATGTTTGCCTTTTAGACCATGCCGAGCAATAAATACGTCTCATCCCCTTTTGTAGGGGTCATTTAATGTGCCTTGATTGTGGTTGCACATGTGCAGAGGCATTTTCGTCCATTACCCCTCAAGGGGTCAAAATTTCAATGTTTTGTACTTCGTACACCCTTACTATTGGTTACTGAACTATTTTCCCTGCCATTCTGATTGCTTTGGAAAGGGGGGAATCGATGATTGATAGCCAACTCTGCTTCCAAGTGATGATGCTCTACTTGACCTCGATCACTAGCATGCCTGCATCAGCTGACTTTTTCTTCTTCTCTTTAGGAACTAAGCCATTTGGCAAGGGCTAACCATTAAGGCAATTGTCCACATTGCGCCGGCGTGGAAGGCTTAACGTGTCAAGTGGGAAGTCCCCCCGAGGGTGACCTAGACACTGAGGACACGTGTCGAGAGGTTGGAGCTCTAGCGGGACCCAAATATTGAGGGCACGTGTCAAGCAGAGAATCCTCAGGGGGGACCTAAGCACTAAGTACACGTGTCGAGCGGACAACGCTTCGAGGGCATACACACTAAAGACACATGTCAGTGATGGGGCACCCCGAGGACATCCACGTCGAGGACACATATAAGGGTGCAATTCGACCCGGGTTGGGCGGGTTGAAAGGTCAACTCTACCCCAACTCTAGCTATATATTCTTCAACCTTAACCCTAACTCTATTTCAACCCGAGATACTCAATCTGAGTAATGCCCGAGTTTAATTCGAGCGGGCTCTGGTTGAATTCGAGTTACTTAATTCGGGCTGATTTTGGGTTAAAAATCGGGTTGATCTTGAGTTACTTAATTTGGGTTGATTTTTTTAAGTGTAGATCTAACTTTTTCAAGTGATCTGAGATGAAGGACTAGACGTAGATGAAGAGAAAAGGAGGAGTGACGAGTAAGAGGAGGAGACTGAGAGTCTAAGATGACTTTAGACGAGTAACGATTGAGAGAGCAAGGCTGAGAGAAGGAGGAGTGACGAATGAGATAGGGATCTAAGAGTTATGGAGGCGCAATGGTGAAAACTTGAAGTGAAATGAAAGTCTGGACTTTAAAGAGTAAAGATAAATACTAACTATAGTTAAATATATTTATATATTTATGTATATTCGGGTTCAACCCGATTTTAATATTCGGGCTGAACCCAACAATTTGAGGCCTCAACCTGAGGTTTACCCAAATTCAATTCGTGTTAGAGTTTTTTTGCTCATGCCTAACCCAAGTATTAAAAATTAAGCAATGCTATATAGACTTAAAAAGTAGACTTAAAAACTAAACTTGATAATCTCAATAATTGATTTTACTGTGGGTCCTAGCATTTATTGGGACCCACTACCTATTCAATGGTTAAGATTATTAAGTCTAATTTTTAAGTCTAGTTTTTAATTTTATCTAGTATTACTCTTAAAAATTATAACCCAAGCCCTTTTTCTGGGTTGGGCTCAAGTTGACTCGCTGAAGTTGCACCCCTAGACACATATCACTCCACAGAATCTCCAAAACCACTACGTCGATGACACGTGTCGTTCCCCATCAATCTACGATCACGTCTATCAAATAGTATAATTAAATCTTGGAAGTAGAATTTGAGGAAAGGGTTTTAAGTTGACCCATAGAAGATCTGAAAAGGTTTAGGCAAGAGGACATTGTAAGTAGGTGGTATGTTTAGTTTAGGTATTGGGGGTTGGATGTGGATTCAATTAATTTATTCGGATAATAAGATAATATTAAGTTTGGATGGACTATAGCGACTCGGTATTAATTTTAATTAATTTTGACTCGGTTTACTATTGTCATTTAACACCTAATATTATGTGGTAATGAATATCATGTAGTTGGTAGCATTATTTTTAACAAATTAAGTATTAAAAATGTAATGACTTTATTATCCTTACAAACTTAGAATCGTACATTCATATAAAAATTATATATTATGCAAATTCTCACTCTCAATATTTGTTTTGTCATTTTTAATTTAATACTATACACTATTACTTAATCCAAATATAAATTTGATATTATAATTATAGATTTATATATTATCTCAACCTTGATCCAAACTTGTTATTCAAGGATTAAATTAAATAATACTCTTATTAACAATATTTTATGAATTAGATGACAACTAATTACCCAATTCTATCCTTTTTTTTTTGTACTTGAACCAAGCATGCCTACTGTTTGTGAAATAAACAGTATCCTTGTTGACATTACAATGATATGAATAATACTGTGAAAAATACTTGTCGATGTAGAACAGTTGCTGATTTTATACTTGGTATAGTTGCCCATTGTGCCTATGCCCTTTTTATTTTGACTTATAAAGGTTGGGACATAAGGTCTTTTTATTTGACTATGGTGTCATTCTTATAATGGTTCAATGATATTTCTTGTGATGAGATTTGTAAGATAGGAGAAGAATCACTGTACAATATTTGTTGGAAAGGAGTTCGGATCAGTTTACGCACACCTCGATTAATCACTTCTCCGGTTTAGTCAAAAGCAAGTCACCCATGTTGGGACTAGAGTATTCATGAGGAATTGAGAAATAAATCCCCCATACCATGATCTCAAGGAATTGCTAAAATTCGAACTTAAAACGGTTGACAATATCAGCTCTTCAAGCTATGCAACTGCAACACACCAAATCATTTCTCCAAGCAATAATTTGTTAAACACTTATGCAGTTCAACTCAACTCAGCACAGTGGTTGACTTCATCAACAGAATCTAAGAGAAGACACTATAACAGAATTGTAACAAATTCCATGTGACTGTTTGTAACATAATTAGTTACGTAATAATTAGATCTAATATCGTAGAGTAAGTGATGAGACATTTCCAAAATACTCCAAGATGAAGACACGTGTCCTCGGTGTCACTAAATTCTTGTTATTGTGATCATGACACGTACCCATCGGTTGACAAGTCTCTTTCCTCCGAGGTACTGGTCATAGGGATCAATGGCATCCAGTACATTTACGTACCGACACGTATCCCTCGGTTGGGGATATGGTACATTGATCCCTATATGTACCTCCCTCTCGGCTCCGAGATGTACCTCCCCCTCGGTTATGAGGTGTACCGTCCAGGATGACATTCTCTACTTCCGCAGAGGGTATTGATGTACAGGTCACTAGCCTAGGCTAGGCTAGGTTAGCCATCATGACCTCGTCTTACACAATTGGTGTCAGAAGGCACAGGAAGGNTCCGTAGAGGCTATTGATGTACAGGTCACTAGCCTAGGCTAGGCTAGGTTAGCCATCATGACCTCGTCTTACACAATTGGTGTCAGAAGGCACAGGAAGGCAGAAGACGTAGCCAATGGGGAAGGGGCACGTGGTATATTATGTCACATCAGAGACAAAAAGACTAGATGTCCTTATTGACACACAACTTGGGAAAACAAACATTTAATTAGGTCATTCCCTTGATGAGACAACATTTAATGCGGTAAGGCTCGNTGTCACATCAGAGACAAAAAGACCGGATGTCCTTGCTGACACACAACTTGGGAAAACAAACATTTAATTAGGTTATTCCCTTAATGAGACATCATTTAATGTGGTAAGGCTCGGAAGAGAAAGACAATAAATATCCCTGATACTGGGCATTTATTACTCTCTTGCCGAGAAAAACTCATTGAATATTCGGCAGGCCGATGACGACGCATTGATTGCTCGGGGTCCCGAGCAGTTAAGAGAGAAGACATTCCTTATAGGAATCAGTGCACACGCTGCCTGTACCTAATGATCACCTACTGACCACACTGACAGCAATCATTAGTTTTTGAGGTATAAATACTCCTCGCAAAAGGCAAGACGGTACGTAACAAAAAAACCTTTCCAAAAATCTATACTCAGTGTTTTCTTCTTCCCCCCTCTCAAATACTGACTTGATTGNTACAATACATACTCAGTGTTTTCTTCTTCCTCTCTCTCAAAAACTGACT